GCTTCTGACACCAATTTGTTACGTCTCTGTTCGTTTGTTAATTTCCGTAAAAATTCTTTCCGAAGAAACTTTAGCAATACATGTCCTTTCTTAAATAAAACTAGTTAATTCTTTCTCAATACAACTTTGCAATACACTTAATTTCCACAGTCAGTTTAACTTAAACAAACGCTATAATTCACAACGAACGATTCACAAATTCCGGCACTTGACTCAATTGTCCGTCTCTATCTCTGTCTGCAATTCAATTCAATTCAATTGTTGCCGTCACTTCTTGGCGGTCTTATATATTATAAAAGCGTACATCTCGTCTCTTCGTGAATCTTCTAGAAACTCATCATCTGTTACCAGGGTCACGTGACTTCCGCTGTCGTAACAAAACGTTGGCTTTACTTTTTTCATGGTTTTGTATAGCTCTAGAGCCATGCGACCAATCGCAGGATCATTTTATAAAAGAGTCATCAGAATCTTTAAAAAGTTAAAAAAAATTCCAGAAAAAGGAGAATAGATCAACCAATCTCATCTTTTTTTGTTTCGCTGTGTTTTAGTTTAATTTTAGCTAAATGAACAACATATCCGAACATATGTTGAATGCATACCTCTCTTTGACGCTGAAAAATCTTGCTCTGCTATATATTGTTCTGGAATCATATTTTTGCGAGTTCAAAATTCTATTATTCTTTTCAATCATTGTCCAAAAGGCAATAAAATGTTAATTACAAACAGTTGTATAAGGTTAAGAAGTTTTAACTTATTTAGTGTAGATGAATGTTGTTTCCTGCTACAATTTGAAGTAATTCTAGAAAGAAAAAAATGGTAATTTTGATTTATTTCATATTTTTTTATGGTAGTTACGAGGTCTGTAAAATTAATCTAGTCTGTATTAAGTAAGAATAGAACAAATAACAGATGAAATATGAAGAGTTATCGAAAAAAGAGAGAGTTAAACTGACCTTACGGATCGTCAGTAGGGGCCCTGGCGCAACTGCGCCACGGTTAATTCGGCTCTGATTACATGAGAAGGTAGAAAACGCATAGTATGCTGGTGCACCACATACATATAAGCTCATAAACAGAAGTTTCGGAAACTTAATTGTTTGATTTCATATTTCAATGCTCATGTTTGACTATTTTTTTTTTGTCAAACCAATGATAAGCGATTTTCATTGATTTCGTCCATATCTGGCTCATCTATAGACAAAAGTCAATAGCCTTACTATTAAAAACCATATTTGCAGAAATAGGTAATTTCTTCAGTATAAATTGTAAAAACCTTCAATACCTTGATTTATTTATTTTACTTGAAAGTTTTTGTTGTTGTTGTTGAGCGCAAAACTAGGCAATGGGCTATATGTCCTCTGCCCATCCCGAAGAATCAAGCCCCGAATTTTAACGTCCGCCCAAAACATTGTAGGCTTTGTACACATAAATATTAAATAACTCCGCTTCTTTAGAAAGGTCGTTTTTATCACATATCTTCACTTAAATTATTTTTTTTTTTATCAAATTGAATATTAGAGTACCAGGAGCAAAGTACAAATGGCTTAACAAAAATTCTGCTCAGATATACATCATAATTTATATTATCATTCAATAACAAATATTATTACTGAGTGCAAATGTTTTTACTATTTATTAGGTTTGCTAATGTATTTGAAATAAAATGCAAGATAATATTAATATCGCAAAATATGTAAATTAAAAAACATTTAATAATAATAAAGGTCAATGTTTTGGCTCTTTAAATTTTGTAGGATGCTTATGGTTTCGACAAACAAACTTTATCGTATTTCACGTGTATGAGTCATCAACAGGTTTATTCATTTTTGAAGGTACTTTCGAACTTTTAAAGTTTTTTTTTTTCTTATACTTTCACATTCGCGTGACTGTCGTTATTCATTTCACACATATAATGACAAAATTAAACTAGAACTGCCTAATATTTAATATTCCGATGATGCAGTTTATATTAACAAATCAATTTTAATATAACATTACAAATGACATGTTTTCTTGAAACCGAAGGTCAATCTGGTATTACTATATCTAGTATTAGTATTAACCATGGATTTACACTTAATTAAACTGAATAATTTGGTTAAATATAAAAGTTTATCTTTTTTTTTTTTTTCATTATGACGATAAGTTTATAGTACTTTTCCATTAGCATTTAGCTGAATTGCAGTTCACTGTGTTATGTTGAAAGTGGTTATAACTTAGTTATATTTTTGTAGTGTCCTAACAGCTATAAATATTGATAATGATACAGTTACTGTGATAGCCTTACACTGTTACTTACACGTTGGAGTTAGGCTGTTACTTAAAGTTACAGTAGACCTAAAGGTTAAATTTTAATTTTAAATAGTTTTGTGAGAGAGCACTTGTTTGAATTAAGTTGGGGATGGTACTACTAGTACTGGTTACTACCACTGATATAGTAATTAATTAGTGGCAAAAGGTTAATTGAACCTTAAAAATAAAGATTAGTAGAAAAGTAGAATGTCAATTTAAATTATTTTAATAATGAATTATAATTAATATTTCAACAAAGCTTTGCTTGATACTTAAAAGATATGTACTAATAATGTAGGCCCATTTGGTTTTAAATATTTTACAGATTCATGATAACTACAGAATGCATAAACCTTCAGTATCCCAAGCTGCTATTGAAACTGCCAAATTAGTTAAGTCTCCAAATCCATCTCCAGCACTAATCCAGTATAGGGGTCGATTGAGTAGTCTTACTGAAGTAGAGATAGAACAGTTCAAGATAGCCAATTATGCAGACACTGTTCGTCAACTTGATGCTTATTATGGGCAAAGTATGTTATAGTATATTGTGATAAAATTTCAGATGTTAACAACTGTGTGTACAATGTTGTATTATTATTTATTCATGATTAAGTACAATTAAATTGTGTGGTGTTAAAAGGATTTTTATTATTAGTCTTAAATTATTTGAAATTACTTAAAGTATGTTAAAAAGCATGTTCAAGTTTTTGTTATTATTTTTGTCTTAGAATTAACTTTAATATTATTTGCTTTTTCTCCTTTGTTCTCTAAAAAATTCTCTTTTAATCCTTTAATGTTTAGTAAAAAGACAAATTCTGAACTTTCAAAGTCCAACAACAGGATTATTTCCAGCATTATCTCAAGATAAAGAATTAGCCTATGTGAGAGACAGTATATATTGTGCTGTTGCTGTTTGGGGTCTTTATCAGTCATACAGGTAAAGAAGCAATTTTATCACAGTTGTATTAAAAGAAATTCTATAAAGATTATTATACTTATGTATTTTAATTGTTTTTGAAAATTTTTTTATGTAACATTTTAAGATTATTCCTAATAGTTATTAACATTTTGAAGAATCTTGTAATCACGATGCAATAAAGTATTCAAATATGAAATATGTGAAACACAAGAGTGGTGGCATCCATTTTAAAATTAGACCATTTAATGGACAAACTAAACCAGATACATTTACTTTTATCATTTGGGAAAGTTTGCTTAGGTGAGTAAATACAGATATGGATGAATACACAGATAAAATTTGGCCTAAGTAACTAATTACAGCTATGTAGGAATACCATAATAAAAGTTGCTAAGGTAAGTAAATGCAAATATGTACGAATGCCCTTATAAAAAAAGTTGGATTAGACATATATAAATACACCTACTTATGATGCTAAAGTGTGAGAAGTGGAAATATAAATACAGTCATCGTGATTGTTCATTATGAAAGTTAATTATATGAATACATCCACCAGGGTTGTTCATTGTGAAAGCTGACTACATAAATATAAAAAAACCAATTTGTTCATTGTGAGATCTAAATACATAAATACAAACACCAAGGTTGTTTGTTGTGAGAGTTAAATAACTACGGATAACCAATTTCGTCATTGTGAAAGCTAACTACATAAATACAAACATCCAGGTTGTTCTGTGTGAGAGCTGACTAAAGTAGTGGCAACTAGTTCGTTCATCTTCAGAGCTGAAATAGCTCATTGTGAGAGCTGACTATACAAATACAGAAACGCAAGATGTTCAATGAAAGAGCTAACCGCTGGTCTCATCAGCACTGGATATGGCAGATATAATGTGGTTGACAAATTTTAATATATTCTTATTTGCTTTCACTCAAAAGTTCTTTGAATAACCTATGTGGTTTTCTCTCATTCATGCTGTAGTTGCTTGACCCACTCCAGGAACAAGACTAGCTTTATGGTTTGCCAGTTCTTCTGAATGAAACTAAAGTTAATTGAAATAAAAAGTATAATAATTATAAGTAAATATTTGGTGTTAAACATAAAATGAATAAATGGTAATGTGTTATCAATTTTTGCCCTTAACATCTGCTAAGCAAATGATTTGATAATAATTACATATAAGTTACTTTATCTAGTTTACACTATAACAGTCATTGTTCAGGAATGTTGATGATACAAGTAGCACCTAGATCACTACTACATCTATCATCTCCTGATGAGCTCTGGTATTAGGCAAAAAGCCTCATTGGCACTGGATATGGTAGATGAAGTCTGGTTGACATAACATATTCTTTGCTTTCACTAATAAGATTTTAGAACATAAATACAAGCACCCAAAAGTTGTTTGAGATCTGGCTACATATATACTGACTTGCTGGTTGTTTGTGTGAGAGCTGGTTACATAAATACAAATACCCAAGTTGTTTATTTTGAGATTTAACTACATAAATAGAGATGCACATATTGTTCAGTTAAGAACTGACTAATACATACAATCACCAAGGCTCAGTGTAAGAGTTAACTGCATACATGCAAACACCCAGCTTGTTCAATAAATGAACTAATTAGATAAATATAAACACCCAGGTTGTTCATTGTAAGAATTGACTACGTATAAGTACAATCACCAAGGTTGTTCAGCAAATCAACTTCATAAATACAAACATCCAGGTTGTTCAATGTAAGAGTTGATTTCATAAATACAGTCACCCAGCTAGTTCAGTGTGAGAGTTGAATACATAAATATAAACACCCAGCTTGTTCAGTGTGATAATTGACTTCATAAATACAAACACCAAGCTTGTTTGTTTTGAGGCTGGCTATATAAATACAGACGCTTAAGATATTCATTGTTAGAGTTGGCTATAGAAATGGAGATATTCAAGTTGTTCATTTTGACAACTGACTACATAAATTCATACATTCAGATTATTCAGTGTGAGAGCTAACTATATAAATAGATACCCAGTTTTTTCATTGAAGAACTAACTAGATAAAGACAAAAACCAAGGTTGTCCATCATATAAATCTCTCTTCTTCCACTGTGGTAAAGATAACACACTGTAAATCTCCTGTAGTTGAATTTATATCATTGTGGTAAAGATAACAATATAAATATACCATAGGAAAATTTCTTTTCATCATGGTAAAGATCACTTATTATAAATCTCTTATAGCTATATTTTTTGCTATCATAGTAAATATATCAATATTAATCTCTTAAAACTACATATTTTCCCACTATGGTAAGTCTCTCACAGGAAAATTTGTTTCCATCATGGAAAAGATAATACAGTATAAATCTCCTGTAGCTACATATTTTCCCACTATGGTAAGTCTCTCATAGCAAAATTTGTTTCCATCATGGAAAAGATAATACAGTATAAATCTCCCACTGAAAAATTTGCCTCCATGATGGTGAAGATAACATAGTATAAGTATCTTGTAACTATATTTTTCTCTATAATATGTGAAATACAAAGTTAGTGTTATTCCTTCCTTCAGATGCAGACATTTCTTGGCACATAGTCATTACATGAAATATATTATTGTATCATTACACACACACACAACTTCTGTTAATAATAAGTTGCACGTTTTCTACTTGCATTTAGTGCAATCATCTTATTTAAGTTGAAACTACATTGTATGATATAACTCAACAGTAACATAATTTTGGATATACAAAGTGTTTATTGTTGATTGATTTGTGATGCATAGTTGTGTTATTTAATTTAAACACGTAACACCAATGTACTTAACATAAGTACTTAACTGTTGATTTATGCAATGAATTTTTGTTAGTAGATTTTGTGGTTCTAATTTTTTTCACTGCTTAGTAGAACTGGGCAATTTAATCAGTTAATTCATATGATTGATTACCTATTAGCAGCTATTACATTGATCAGTGTGTTATAAACTGATAAATTAATCTAAATTATGGTTAATTGATTAATATCACAAAAAAATCAACTAATTGAAATTAGGGTTTCCAAATTATTGCTGTTTTCAATTATTCTGATTATCCAAGTAATCAAAATATTGCCATTATGTTTTTCTATTGTTAAGTACAAAGCTACATAATAGGCAGGTGGGAGGATGCTTTGTGATTTGAGGGTATCAAGCTCAATTCCCATTGCCACTAATTTTGCTTATCCTTTCTTTGTTATTGCAAAGCTTCTAAGCCTATCTGCATTGTCACTCATTTTGAACTGCTGACTACAGAGATGGCAACTAGCTAGCAGCACTTAAACTTAGCAACTACTTACATTTTAAATAAAATGTAAATATACTGTTTTTTTAAGTGTGTTATGTTCCTAATTTATAATTACAAAAATGTTCTGTAATGTTGTATTAGTAGGTGCAGGTCTGGGGGAGGGGTCCAGACCCTCATCCATTTTATTCCAGAAATTAATTGCATTATTTAATGGTGTTTAAGCAGGCACAGATCAAGGGGAGCATATCCCCACCCATTTCTTCAGAAATTAATAATTTTATAATGTTGTATATGTAGGTGCTGATTTAGGGAGTCTGCCCCACCTTAATTTTTTTAAACCATAAAATTAATAAATATAAGATGTCAGTGTTCTTATTTTATTTGTCTAGTTTTTTTTATGTCTACAGCAATCCAGTTACAGCCTTGGCCAATAACTGATTATTTCTCAATGAATACAACAATATGAACATTAATTAAATCTTGCCGTCGTAAATTTTCATGTCTTGTTTTTTTCAAATACACACACACACACTCTAAAAATATGTGCATACTCTAGAAATTAGAGATTTGGAGATGCATGCATCTGTTTGAACAGTCATTAAAGTTTAAGCTTAAACTACATAGTATAATGTAACTCAACAGTCACATGATATTGGATATACAAGGAGTTTATTGTTAATTGGTTTATGAAGTTTAGTTATGTTAATTGTAGTAAACACATAACACTAATGTATGCTGAGCTGCAGTATATAAATACTTTTGAGTGAAGTAATGAGCTTTGGTTAGTAGGTTTTTAGGTTTTTTATTAGTACTGCATGTAAAAATCAGGCAATCTACCAGAGCCTAATTGATTTGCTATTCAGCATGTGAATTTATCTTGTTTACTCTTTATGAATTGCCTTGTGTAACTTGTCTTTATGTGTTAATAAACAGTTACTGAAATTACTCTATGTGTTTCTTGAGCTAGTTGAGGTTGTACATGATTCAATCACCATTTAACATTTGCAGAATTAGATTGTCACAAATGGTAAATATAACACAGTATAATTGTTTCAAGCTATATTTTATTACATGTGGTAAATGTGTAACAGTATGAATCTCCCATATCCACATTTTTCACCATCACAATACGATAACACATTATAAGTGGTATCTATATTTTTTCTATCATGGTAAAGATATAACAGTATAAATCTACAGAATCTCAATTTTTTTCCCATCATGGTAAAGATGTAACATATTAAATCTCCCAAAGCTACATTATTTTCCATCGTGGTAAAAATAATGCAATATAAATTGCCTGTAACAAAACTTGTTTCTATCATAGGAAAGATCATATATATAAATCTTTTGAAGCTATGTTTTTTGCCATCATGGAAAACAATAACATAGTATAAATCTCCCCATAGCTACAAATTTCTCCATCATTGTAAAGATAACAAGTATAAATCTTCCTACAGCTATATTTTTCTCTATCATGATAAAGATAGCACTGTATAAATCTCCCACAGCTACATCTTTTTTCATGGTAAATATAACAGTATAAATATTTTGGAGCTCCGTTTTCTCCCTTGTTTTAAAGTTAACGGAGTTTAAATTCTCTAATTGATATATTTCTTTACAATTATGTAAAATAACAATGTAAATGTTTCATATCTATATTTTTCCATCATGGTAAAGATAACAGTATCAATCTTCCATACATACATTTTTGTCTGTTATGGTAAAGATAACTCAGTAGAT